GAGTCTTGTAGTGAAGAACTGAAGATTCAGGCACTGACGTCTGCTGTGCTTTGGACCTGCAGACAACCAAAGAGAGAGGCTTCTGCTGGTCCAAAGCCCCTTTTCTTACCGTAGATGCCCTTTCTCAATACAACAACAGAAATCATCTTTTATTTACCCATTGCATGTCCTTTTCCCAAATCCATCATATCGTTAAATACCACGCATGTGAGAGTGTCGGGCAAGGGTCTAGGAGACCCAGGTTTAAATCCCCACTCTGCCAGCAGACACTTTTACGAGCGGAGCTCACTCAGTTTGGAGTGGAGTGGAGCTCACTCAAAGAGAGCCAGTTTGTTGTGGTGGTGAAGTGCACAGACTCTAATCTGGGAGAACCGGGGTTGATTCCCCACTCCTCCACTTGCACCTGCTGGTGTGACCTTGGGTCAGTCACAAGCTCTGGCACAGCTGTCCTTGGAAAAGAGCAGTTCCTGTCAAGAGCTCTCTCATCCCTACCTACCTCACAGGGTGTCTGTTGTGGGGAGGGGAAGGGAGAGGAGTTTGTAAGCCGCTCTGGGACTCCTTTGGGTAGTGAAGGGCGGGGTATAAATCCAATCTTTTCTTCTTCTTCCTAAATGCCGGGACTCTAACCTGGGAGAACTGGGTTTGATTCCCCACTCCTCCACTTGCACCTGGCTGGATGACCTTGGGCAAGCCATAGTTCTGATAAGAGCTGGGGCTCAAATGCAGAATTTAGGAACAAACAAATACAGTTTGGTGTTGTGGTTAAGTGTGCGGACTCTAATCTGGGAGAACTGGGTTTGATTCCCCACTCCTCCACTTGCACCTGCTGATGTGACCTTGGGTCAGTCACAAGCTATGGCACAGCTGTCCTTGGAAAAGAGCAGTTCCTGTCAAGAGCTCTCTCATCCCTACCTACCTCACAGGGTGTCTGTTGTGGGGAGGGGGAGGGGAAGGAGCTTGTCAGCCGCTCTGAGACTCCAAGTGAAGGGCAAGGGGTATAAATCCAATCTCTTCTTCTTCTTCATGAGGTCCATTATTATAAGACAACAGCAGGAGATGTGACCAATCAGGGCTGGTTTAAAACATGATCCTGCTTTGCCTGACATTTGGGGGTGCCTCCCACCCTGTCGCAATGAATCTGTCAGTCACAAGAGAACATTTCATGTCTGGCGATGGAGCGTGCTCTGACTTTCAGAAGCTTCTACTGGAATAAAACCTGTTAGGCTTTCCAGAGGAAAGATCCCCTTCTAGGCCATAGGTCGCTTTGCCCTGGCCCCTCCTTGACGGTGTTTCTTCTCTTCTCTGCCCCCTCCAGTCAGTGGCACCCGTGTGAACCATGGACGATTTAGCCGCCCCTGCACCCGCCTCCGTGGGCTTCACCTACACAGTGGCCGCCTCGCAGACCTTGGGCCTGGCTGTGATCCTGGTCGTGGGGGCCTGGATGGGTGTGTACCGTGGGGGCTTCGCTTGGGAGAGCCCAGAACTGCAGTTCAACGCCCATCCGCTGTGCATGATTGTTGGAATGGTGTTCTTGCAAGGAGATGGTAAGTGCTGACTGAGCCCGGGGAGGGGTGGCCTTTGCCTGTGATGTGGGTCTGCTGGGGAAACTCGCAAAAGGAGGCAAGTTGGCCACGCTTTGGGCCCTACGTCTAGCCCAGCTAGCATGACTGATTTGCAGCACAACAGCCCCGAGAACTGTAGAGAAACAGACTGGGCAGAAAAAAATTCCACAGAAAAATGCAGCCCTGGGAAATTCCCTGCCCTGCACATCACTGGCCTTTGCAGGAGGCCTTCCCAAGGGTGTGTTTGGGCTCGCCTCCCCTCATCCGTACCTAGGTATTGGTCATCATGGAAGTGGCTGGAATTTAATTAATTAGCTTCACCTGGCCAAGAGCAAACAAGAGGTCCACTGATACAAATGGCAAAAAGGCATCTCAAAATGTCCAAAGTATTTCCGGACATTCTAGTCGAATTTCAGACATTCTAGTCCAGCGTAAAGAGCGGCTGTTTCAAATTGCCAGAGAAAAAGAGGGCCTGCAATTGGAAGAGACTGTGGTCTTTATGTATGCAGATTTGCCTCCAGAAATCCTTGCAGCAAGGAGACGGATATGGGAGGTAGCAGTCAAACTTAAAAAAAACAATGGTGTTAGGTTTTGTTAGTTGCCCTTAGGCCACATAATCGTGCATCTTGATAGATGAGACATCTGGTAAAAAACTTTTAGCTGGTAAAAAACTTTTAGCTCTTCTGCAAGACCCATACAATAACTACGGCAGTGACCAGAATTGGGACCCAAAAGCTCTCCTTGGTTCCAATCCAACCAGTGTCATGCTGGATCCTCCAATAGCGCCTGGAGGAAACCTTGATTCTCCAATGGAACCAAGGCCCAACTTTCAGTTGAGCAAAGCTGGTCTCACGAGTAGTGTTGAGGACACCAAGACGGGCTGTCCTGGGGGGAACTTCAATATTCATGCTGAGGCTATCTTGTCTGGAGCAGCACAAGTTTTCATGGTGTCCATAACAACCATGGGCCTTTCTCAGGTAATAACTGGTCCTACACATTGTGCAGGTCACACGGTTGATCTGGTACTTTGTTGTGGACAGGAGGAATGGACAACGGTTCCTTTGCCATATGCTTGGGTTTAGACTTACAGGGATACCAAGAATATGTAGGACTGGGGAATCTATTCAGATGATCCACCTCCAGAGCCAGATGGATCAGGATGGTTTTCTGATGGCTCTAGAGGATTTTCCTGTTGCTTTGGTTGGTCTTCCTTTCCATACCCCAGTTGACCACTGTGGTGAGGAGGTGTCCCAGGCAGTGGACACGATCACTCCCAGATGCCCCCTGCAGAGATGGTAGCCAAGAGACACTTTCCCACCACCACCACACCTGCTGCACAGTGTAGGCTGACAGAACTGTTCCTGTTGGTCAGAGGCTTGTTGGGATCTGGCCAGCAGGAGGAGGGGGAGTGCTCGGTGGCCCCCTGTGACTGTTATACTCAGCAGCACTTTGCAGATAAAATATCTCTCATCTGTTCTGACTTGTACTCTGTGTGACAGTGTTGGATGGTGCCAGGGTGCCGACTTGTCCAGTTGTTTGGAATACTTTTCAGTCTGGGATGCTGTATAGAAATATTGATTTCTAAAAGCCTCATGCCTTCTCCTGTTCTGTCTTTTGTTAACAGGCTGTGCCTATTTCCTGTTACCAGCCAAGTGGTGGGCCACATGGCCTCCATAGCCATGCCATAAACCCACATTCTTCACACTTCCATGCTAGAAGCTAGACTGTGAGGCACCCCACTAGGCCCACATGCAAGAAGTCACGTAGCCGATGGAGAAGCTGGAGTTTGGAGCCGTGTGACTTCAGGCGTGGTCTCCAGACTTCTAGCCTATCCCCAGATGTAGCCATAACAACCAAATCTTGGGCACTCCCATTCCCACTCGCAATTGGCTCCTGGCCAGGGCTAATTTGTGACTGGAATTGGCCTATAACTGCTCATTCCCCATGGGAGAGACTCTCTCTCTCTGTTCTGTTCCTGCTCTCTGCTTGTTTATTGCCCCTGAAATGTTGTCTCTGGGAGAGACAAAGAACTGCTTTGTGAACTGAGCACATGGCTGGCAAAGATGGGATTTCCCTGACAAATCCCTTGGTACTTGGACTATTTGGACTGATGCTCTTCTGACTTGGTAAATATGAACCATTACTGTTTAGTTAAGGCAAACAGCCTAGCCTTTCTTATTTTGTAATCTCTTATAGTTTAATTGCAATGCTCTGTATTGAATAAAAATCATTCTTGTTTCTAAGTGGTCTCTGATGTTGTACCTGAGTTCCAAGCCTAAAATCCTGTAGCCTAAACGCTGACCACATACGCTACTATTGGAGGTTAAAATATTGTGCATCTCTGGGAAGAGTTGCTAATGTGTTAAGTCCCAGATGCCAGCTGAGAGATTTGAATCTCTGCTCTGAGCTGGAGGGGATTATAGACTACTGTAGAGATTCTGGTGGCATATTGTTCTGAATCCAGAGAGGGTAGCCTACCTCTGTGGGTTGTTTAATGTACTGCACAAGTGCAGGATTCTCTCTCATTCCTGGTTTGGCGTGGGTGGGCTATCCTATACAGATGCTTTAGTCAGTCTGAGGATATGGACAGGATCTTTGGAGGCTTGAGGCCTACCACCTGCTTGTATGACCCTTGTCCGTCCTTGTTACTTAAATCTTGGGGGGGGGGGGCTGACTGGGTCTGAGTGGTAGTGAATGCTCCTCAGGAGAGGGGATGATTGCCCAACATTGAAACAGGCTGTGGTGACGTGTCAACTTTTAAAACAGTCTACCTTCAACCCAGGAGAGATCAGTAATGGTGAACCAGTCTCAAATGTTCCATCCTTGAGCAAGATTTTTGAATCTGTGGTAGCTGGACAACTCCCAAGTTTTTCTGCATGAGACAAATTATTTAGACCCATTCCAGTCTGAGTTTAGCCTAGTCATGGGACTGAAACATCCTTGGTTGCCCTGGTGGATGACCTGTGCCGGGAGATGGAGAGAGGGATTGCAACTCTGTTGACTCTCCTGGACCTCTCAGTAGCTTTCAATACCACCAGTCATGGTATCCTTCTAAATCGCAAAGTGCCGCATGATTCCAAGATAGCCTCGCTAAACATTTTACTGGATAATCTTTCAGAAAAGGAAAAATACCTACTTAAAAACTTGTTGATTGCAGCAAGGCAACTACTGGCAAAGTACTGGAAGCAGTCAAATCTGCCAGATATAGATGACTGGGTGTGTAGGATATGGTATGCAGTTGTGATGAACAAGATAATGGTATATAAGAGGATCCGTGCAGGAAAAAGGGGCTTTGTCAAGCTCAACTGACACATGCTAATCTTCATGACTCCTGGCTATCTTGATGCAGCGTATTGGAGAAAGGTGCGGAAGGGGTGGAGTACACTGTGATTGGGGGCTGGCCCATCATGGTGACAAGCTGCCCGCCCTTCCCTTTGGGAGCCCTTTCCAGGGGTGTTCCTGTTGAGGATGTTCCTGAGCCCCCGAGCGCGCCACTCCGCGCGGATGAGGTGCTTCTTTGAGCGGGTATCTTGAGAAGTGGTCTATACCAGTGTTCCCTCTAAGCTGAGTGAGTGCGAGCTAGCTCACAGTTCTTTAGCCTCCGGCTCATACATTTTTGTCTCAGCCCCGGGAGGATGGGGCTCCAGAGCAAACCAATTGATGCAGCAGCCAAACCGCTCGCTCGCAACTTTAATGCCAGTAGCTCACAAAGTAGAATTTTTGCTCACAAATCTCCACAGCTTAGAGGGAGCCTTGGTCTACACCCGTTCCAAAGGACTGGGTGAGGCTTTGCTCTGCTCCGGTCTAGCTGCAGTCCTCCCGTGGTGGCAGTGCTGTAAGAAGGGAAGCAAGAAGCAGCTGCCAGGGCCCCTGTCAGCAGAGCACCCCTCCCGTGCCCCCGGGGGCCTGGCGGCTCCTTGCCAGATCGTGACGAGGTGGGTCCTTCCTGCCAGACGTGTGCCTCATGCCCGCCTTCTCCTCCCTCTTCCAGCCCTCCTGGTCTATCGGATTTTCAGGAACGAGAGCAAGCGTTCCACCAAGATTCTGCACGGCCTCCTCCATGCCCTGGCCCTGGTCATTGCCCTGGTTGGTGAGTAAAAAAAGTCCCATAGGAATAACCCTCACCCTCTCTGACTCTTCACCCTACAGGCACGAAGTAGTTTTTCATAACTCAGGACTGCAGGGTGCTCTGCTTTTTTAACAGAAGAACATAAGAGACGCCAGTGTTGGATCAGGCCAAAGGCCCATCCAGTCCAACACTCTGTGTCACACAGTGGCCAGAAATACCAGGGGCCATCAGGAGGTCCAGCAGTGGGGCCAGGACATTAGAAGCCCTCCCACTGTTGACCCCCCCCCCAAGCACCAAGAAGACAGAGCATCACTTGCCCCAGAGCCCCTATCTATACCTTGTGGCTAATAGCCACTGATGGACCTCTGCTCCATATGCTTATCTAATTCCCTCTAATAAGAACATAAGAGACGCCAGTGTTGGATCAGGCCAAAGGCCCATCCAGTCCAACACTCTGTGTCACACAGTGGCCAGAAATACCAGGGGCCATCAGGAGGTCCACCAGTGGGGCCAGGACATTAGAAGCCCTCCCACTGTTGACCCCCCCCCAAGCACCAAGAAGACAGAGCATCACTTGCCCCAGAGCCCCTATCTATACCTTGTGGC